CAACATTAAAAAATAATAAAAGACCTAATCTTTTTTTGACACTTCATGATCCAAAAAAACATTTAGGTATAAGAGTAAATAATTTGTATTTGATCACATAAGAGATTCGTGTTTTTCCTTTTTAAAAAACTGCGCCATTTATGAACTACCTTATTGATTTGATCCCTTTGATCTTCATTTTTTCTTTGCAATGATTTATATTTATGTTTTAATTCCTTGTATCGCTTTTCCAGTTCTGCAATAAATAAAATATAATAATCCTCATTTAGAAAATTAAAAAGAAAAATTGGTATTACAAATTTATCATTCTTTTCAACCTTAACATGAATTGAACTACGTTAAATGCATGAATTATGAGGTCAAAGTAAAATAAAAACCTTCTTGTGGGGTGTTTTTGAGGTTTTGGAACCAGAATTGGAAAGGACGCGATATAATTCGTGCTATCTCAATCTTTATATGGGTAGTTCTACAAACTAAGGAATTTTCGGCGGCTCAGCTAAAATATCCTGAAAAATTTGTTACAAACTAATTTATTTGTATAACATACTGTAAAACTAACCTATGTCTAGTTGGTCTCTAAAAATGATTTAAATTTAAAATTATTTTCTTGACGAAATTACTATTCAAAGTGCCAAATTCTCAGGAACCTGCAGTGTCCCTCAAACAAAATCTAATCAAAAGTGTAATGTGATTTATTTACTACCACACTGAGGACAAAAATGAAACCAAAATAAAAAAGTACTTATTATATGTTCTTGCCTGGGAGATATATTATCATTTTATTGTCGTAAAAATATTATAAAATCCTTTTCCAAAATTTGTCCCAACGGTTTTATATCAGAATCCTGTTCAATTTAAAATAAGTAAATATTCAATATTCTATTAACCGAGAGACGTTGTCGTTCAGTTGTGTTAATTATACCTACGAAAAGGGCAAAGAATACCACCGATTTTTTTGCACCTAGCGTGTTGTTCAGTCAGCCTGGCACAATCAAAAGAGGAAGGCGCGTCGTAATCAGTCGAGTTCACAGGATCCTGGTAAGATATTTACATACTAAATAAATATATAATATGGTAATTTTAGCGTTTTGATATGTAATTTGCTTACACCAAGGCTTAGTTCTGCTTAATTTTGATTGAATGTTTTTTAATCGATGTTTTTTTTAATTTTATTTAAAAATTCTCAGGAACCTGGTCTCAGGATCCTGTCAAATTGAGACCCAGAATACTAAGAACTATCCAGGGTCCTGAGAAGTTTATATTTAAATGCTGTTTGTGTGCAAGATAATTTGCAACTTTTTAGCTATACACTATAAAGTCAAAATAATAAAACGAACGATAGTGTAGTTACATACAAAACTTCGATAGTTTAAAAAAATTAAAATTAAAAGAAAAATGCAGAAATCAAAGAATAAACAGACTAAGGAGGATATATTAGAAAAAAAAAGGATAGCTGAAAAATTGAGATATGAAAAAATAAATAGTGATCCTGACAGATTAGCGGCTGAAAAAGAAAAAAAAAGCAAGAGTATAAAAAATTGAGATAAACTGGCAAAAAAACTAGTATCTGAAATGTCGGCTCGTGAAAAAAGACAAGCTCGCAAAAATTGGAGGCAATAATCAGACAAATCTTACAAAAAACAAGTCTATGGCCAACATGACAAGTCAATTTGTTATTTAAAAAGTTGATTTCGGTTGGTTTTATTTTTTTTTCCTCAGTTTCTTGGTTACACTCTCAGTTTCCTGCCGCTTAATTTCCTTGAAATGGTCATAAATCCAAAATTTTAAAATATTTTGACTGTTCCACTTAACATAGGCTAAAAGACGTTGTATTCTTGATAATAGACTAAATTTCGCAATTAGAATATACAAAAAATGTTGGGCCGAAATCAGACTCATTTTCGTCCTTAGTTTGTAGAATAACCCATATAAGATGCAGTACATCTTAGTCTTACAAAATTTAGATAAAAAGTGTTTACAATCAAAATTTCATGAGGTGACAACTACACAGTCATCAAAGACTAGCTGTTACCCCATACATGAAAACGACTAGTGACATAACACGCACATGTATTTGCACATTGGTTTCAACAAATAGCAGTTTAGCGCCCTAAGTACGCCCCTGATCATGGCGTCATGTACGAACAACGTCCTCTCCATAGTTGCTGCATTCTTACTGAATTAATAAGTTGTGAAAAACGAGAAAAAAAGTATAGCAATATTCAACTTCATTAAAATATAAACGTAGGTATTATTTATTGGACGCGAATTGCTTATTTATGTCTATTACTTACCTTCATGCTCTTCAGAACTTGCTGACGGCTTTGTTTGAAACGTTGTGCCTTCTATTTTTTCCTTATTAGCTTCTTCTTCGCCTTGTCTAATGGCCAACTCATCTAATTCCGCGATTAAAGCTTCAACCTTATAAATAAAAATAAAATAATAGTGTAAACTTTCATTTTGAAGATTAATGTATTTCATATTATGCAGTCGAATATTTAATTGTTCGAGACAATACAGTAGCTCAACGCATGTGGTTACATTTAATACATAAAAAAATGTTTGAAAATATTGTTACTGGTTGATATCTCGAACAATTTTTTTAATCCATCGCATAAATTTTCTTTTAATGAAATGGGGAAAAAGGGAACTGCGTACAACCCCATCCTAACTTAACATGAATCAGGCTAATTTGTGTTGTGTTACATTAAGTAGGGTAGGTCTAACAGTTTCCGACTTCCCCCTAAATATTTGAATCGAAAGTTGTTCCTTTTAGGAATTCCAGTTCAGTTATTGTTCAACCAATTTGAAGAAGGTGCTTCTCAAACTATATGGCGAAACGAATGAGTATAAATGAGTTACTGAAGATGCTGCAGTGAAACTAGCTAAACGTTTATAGTGGTTATGTGTATGAATAAAACTCAATGCGGTTTTCAACGATTTAATAGTCAGGAAAGCATATACCAAAAATCACAGCCAATCGAGCTGAATGCTAAGGACCGAATAATATTTTTTTTCATTTACAAAAGCTTTCGCAGGCATCCCAACCTTGGTCCGTATCGTAAAANAGTAAGAACTAAAATTTTCAAATCATCGTTTATACTTCTTTTTAATATGTAGTACACATACATGTAATTCGTATAATACAAATAAATATTCCACGTAAAAAAAATCTAAAAATGACTTTTCTCTATCACTACCTTTTTTTAGGAGGATATCATGGAAGAATTTACAAAAGCTTTCGCAGGCATCCCAACCTTGGTCCGTATCGTAAAAGCATAAAATAAAATACCGTTACGGTTGGACCCTTAGCTTTCGCTGGTTTTTGCCGATGCGAAGCAAAACGGTTGCTTTTTGTAAAATGTTATATTTTACCGCTACACGTTCAACAGCTTGCAAAACGTTTCTTTAGTTTACACCTGTTCAACTCCCTCCTATAAGTTATAAAATCTTTATTGAAAATCTTCTTTTTCTGTTACCTGTTCTCCTTTAAACTTCATAACTTCTTGATATATTTTGATTAAACCAACAGCGTCGTTTTTATTAAAGTCTTCTTCAGTGCAATCTAGCCACAACAGAGAACCATACAATTCATCTTTATCTTCGTCGGAAAGAGTTTCAACGGAAATCGTTAAAATATCGGCAAGAGCCATTTTCTCTATTCAGTAGCTAAACACAATAAATAAACTAAAACCTGTTTCAGACTACAATTAAATGCAGTAATAATGTATGTATGTGTGTACTAAAAGCGAGTTTATTATGACTTTGATAGTTGACATTATCAAGCATAGCGTTGCTTGGTAACTAATCAGTCAGCTGTACACCCCCGGACGGTTGACGTCTAAGAAACTTTTATATACGTTTTTACCATGTATTGTATTATTATTTTTGCCGGTAAGTGTATTTTTGGGAATATTTTATTAAAAATATGCAAAAAATCAGCATAATGTCAAACTAAAAGTTAAATTAATCTTTACATTCGGAGAGATTTAAAAAAAAAATTAATTGATATTGTAAATACACTAAACTCTGTCAGAAACTTTTGATAGATTTCAAAATTTTCAGATTAGTTCTTGTAATAAGTAAATACCTACAAACCTACATATATATATATTTTAAAAAACGTAAAAAAAACGGTAATACAAAAGTACTAATGTGCCTATTGTAATAATCAAGAATGAACTTTAGAGATCTTAATAAAAATTATTGGTGAACCATAATTACTTTAGATCTGTCAAGATCGTTAATATTATTTATTGATGTGTCCTAAAATGCCTTCAGATCTTTTCATTTTTTCCCGATTAAGAACAAAAAACAGCTTTTACTTCGCCATGAGTGAATGCCGCAGGCGGCGATCAATACCGACGGCACCTTCGATTCAAAGGCCAAAAATTTCGGCCTAATAATCATACAGCGAACGAAGACTGCACTGCAAAAGGAGCTTACGGGAATATTCTTGAATATTTCTAAAAACTTCTCATAAGTTATGACTGCAATTGCCGATTCGAGACGGCATCAAAGGTGCCGCCCGTGCAGCAGTAGATTCCGATCGCCCACGGCATTTTTTCATAAAAATTTTGAATATCAGACATCAGTTTATTTTATGTCCAGTATTACTGACAAATCATCACTGTACAATATTTTAGATTTTTCAACTTGCAAAAGAGATAAGAAGCAAATGATATTTTTGGTACAGTTTTATACATAAATTAATTTTTTTTAATTTTGTTTATTGTTTATTGATTCTTCAATAATTAAAATTCAAAACTGCAAATATTTAAATAAAATATAAAAACAAGTTATATACAGATTATTCTGATGATTTCTTCATTTTATAACAATTTTACAGAACTTTTGAAAAATACGGAAGCTGTAAGTGCATTGTCGCTAAATCTAAAAAACCAAAGCGCTCGTAGTAGGTCATCCTTCGCCAATTCAACTGTTAAAATTAATGAAAAATATGGAGAACATAGAACCCTCTACGTAAATCCAAACTGTCGAGTACAGATTTTATTGGACTATCTCTATGACGTAACTGGTCTAGAGAAAAAACGTACGCCTTTACTTTTTAAAACATTTTTTTGTTAAATAATTAATCTTTGCCTTCTTTTGGCCCTATTTACTCCAGTTTGTGCTTGTCTTTCTAATCATCCCTTTGTAAATGCACTTTTAACAATCTTTTCCGAATATTCAATGGTTTCATTATTCAAATGTACCTAACAAAAAAGGAGAGTAGTTTAAAATAAATGAATTCATAATATATTTGTAGAAGCTTTTGATCTTTGTGACGTAAACGGAGTATTAATGAATTTAAGATCCTTGAAAGAATGGGATTATGCTACGAAGGTTCTGGATCACCAACATACTTATTACATTATCCTTTATGAACGTTGGTTTGTGCAAGTATTTTTCATTACAATGCAAATAATTAGGATAAAAATTGTAGGTGAAGAAGCTGGTAAATTATTTATTGAACCAATGTTGAGAAGGTCATCAAAAACAAATGCAGATTTGATAGTTCTCTTGAAAAGACAGCTCGGGTCAAATGCTACGATATCTAGTAGAGAAAAGGTACCTAATATAAATAATATTAGAAATAATTCTGTTTAAAATACGAATGCGAAATGCAGAGTATAGTTGGGACGTTTAAAATTGGCATAGTCCGCAATAAAACTATCGCATTTACTTTCTCGTTTCAACGTACTAACTAGAGAGAGAGTTGCTGATAAAACGTCTACTTTTACTCACGACAGACGTCGTAGGGAATATCGTAAAATAGAAAAGAGATGTCAGGTAGGAATTGCAGCGGACACTAATAAAGAAAAAGGAATAACATTACACCAATTAATGTGTAACAAAAAGAGATGCAGACAAGCAGGATTTGAGCATGTTACCAGCATCGGAAATTAAAGAAAGTTCAACATTCTCAGGAATTTAGGAAAGGAAAAACGCTTGTTTAAAAATATAATTCTAACTAAATAGTTATAAAGCCGACCCTAATCATTTGCGTACCTATCACCATTGCATCGCTTACTATTATTCGGTTATCTCTATTCACTTTGCCTGTACTACTCATTTCCTGACTTAACAAGGATGTGTTCAAAACGCAGCAAATGACTACAGTCCCAAGTGGAAACAAGAAAGAAGATACATCCATTCTTACAGATAATTTACTGCGAACTTTGCCAATTTTAATCATCCCAACTATACCTACCTATTTCTAATGTCTATTCTAAATTCACTATTCTAAAATATACCAATAATTTGAAAATATTAACGTATTTTTTACCTACACAGTTCACGGTATTATAAAAGTTTTTTACTCACAATTTCTAATCACAAAATTAAACCAATTAGCCAGATATAATAATGTACTTTGTTTACTGCAATTTTATTTCTTTTTGCAATAAAAAAGGGCCTAGATTAGACAAACATTTTAATTTCAATTTTGTAACCAAAAGTAAGAACTAAAATTTTCAAATCATCGTTTATACTTCTTTTTAATATGTAGTACACATACATGTAATTCGTATAATACAAATAAATATTCCACGTAAAAAAAATCTAAAAATGACTTTTCTCTATCACTACCTTTTTTTAGGAGGATATCATGGAAGAAAATGCTAACATACAATGTATTTAATTTTTTTTTCCACACCAAAAAAGGAACAAAATGATATATCTATTCAGTTGCAAGTTATACATTTATATCTGTAGGATTAATTTGTTATTTTCATATCCCAACCTTGGTCCGTATCGTAAAAGCATAAAATAAAATACCGTTACGGTTGGACCCTTAGCTTTCGCTGGTTTTTGCCGATGCGAAGCAAAACGGTTGCTTTTTGTAAAATGTTATATTTTACCGCTACACGTTCAACAGCTTGCAAAACGTTTNACATACGCAGTCTTTTCGTTCGCAGGGGGGCTAATTTTTAATTTAATTATATTTATTTCTGTATATAAACTGGACCTAAATTAATTCTTCATAAAATGTGTATAGATACCGTGTATAAAATTGGTATATAGCATACATCAGCATGCGTGTTTTCAATTAGAATTAACTATTTTTTTTTATTCAGTCTGGTCAAAATATCTCTGTTAATTCCGATCGCCTAAACAGGCACGCTTGCTCGGTTGGGACCCTTAACATAGACCATATTTCTTACAAAATTACCATTACTTGCTGTCACTACCCTCTAACGTACTTCTAAAAATAATTTTTACAACTTATAGAAACTTCTCTCTTATTTAAATAGATCCTTACTACCACTTGTTTCTAGTATGGTGTTATCACTTCTTGTTGGGGGTATTCTTTTAATTTAGGGGAGAGGGGGGATGTACATGCAGTTTTCAATTGAAAACATTGGCAAACTCAATATTTAACTCAATTGCTAACATTACTCGTTAATGACTAATTAACTGATTATTCATAAAACACCCTGTATCTATCTAAATAACTAGGAACTTTTCATATCTAGTAAAACACTTTTACTTTCTTTTTTTCTGCAGAGCCCACGAAGAAAAACAATCGAAACTGAAAGAGGTTCTTTATCCAATAGAAGACATTCTTCGAGAATTAAAAAGGTAAAGCTATCTAAATCTGCCCTTCAATAGAAAAATAATTGATTTTTATTCTGTTATACTTTTCTTTTACTCAGTTATTTTATATATGCTATACATAATAAATTTTTTACGTGTGTGATATAAACTATAGGTTTTGAATAATTATTACAACAAATTTTTATGAGACAGAGGGTGCTTCGCGAATGAGCCCAGATGAGTCAAAGCCCACGAATCGAAATTTCTGACCCATATCTTTATTAATTTATCTATATTATTTTAATCCGATAAAGCGTAAAATTTAAAACCAGAAGCATTCAACTTCACATAAACCAAGAGACTTTGCTTACATAATACAAAATTGTGTGGCAGTTTTATTAATTGGTGTAAAGATATCTATTACTTTATCAAAATTGTAATATTCTGCGATTTTTCTCTAGCTTAACATCTAAATTAATTACCAAAGAAAATGTCAATTCTTTATTTGAATCAAATATTTAATATCCTCAAAGATAATCCAATTACTCATAAATGAAATTTTGTTTTACTAAATTGAGCACATATATGTTTAAAGTAGAAATATTAGCTTTCAATTAACTAAGCAAAGGAGAGATTCAAGTATTTATTAAACACAAAAGTGGTAGGAGGTAGGGGAACTTCCTTTTGCTTATTTTTGATGGGATAAGCCGATAAGGAATCGGGAGTTTGGATGATGATTACGTCAGCAATATTTATTTAGTTACTTTTTCTGATTTTTCTGCGAAATTTAGTAGATTGTGTTTAAATATGGCAACTAGGCAACCCTGCTTATCTATAATACTCGAAAGCGAAAAACGTGTTCAGGGATTCCCCAAAATAAGTGATACGATTTTATTAATTTGTTTGAATAAATATTAAGTGGCCATTAAATTTCTTTGTAGTCTATAAATTCATTATTTCTAATAACAATAAAGAAAACTTGAACAGATTTTAAAAAATATATACTACTACGTAAGTATAGGGGGTAAAATCTTTACTTACTTTTACTGATAAGGGAGAAGGGGGGGATTAAAATTACTAAAATTCTGCTTACGTTATACTTGAATTGTCCCAAATTAGGTCAATGTTATATTAGATTTAATATTTAGATTTGAAGATTTTATAGTGACCACAAATAACGTATTATATCTAAGCCAAAGGGGTTCTTATGAGGGAAGACAGGTTAATCTTTCCAGTAATTAATTTAAATAGAATTAAAACATTATGTAGTTCTCTACAAGATTTTATAGATGGAAGATTAATTTTTTTTTAATAGATTAATACTATAATTAAAAATAAATTAAATTCATTATCATTGTAATGACAATTCGTTTATTTTTATCTGTCTTAAAAAAATTACATCTATAAGGTAAGATGGTCTTGACACCCATACAATTTAATCCCTACAGAGAGCATACGGTTAGCATACAAAAATAAATAACAATTCTTATAATGAACTAACATCCATTGACAAATATTAAAAATCTGAATAAATACAATCCTATATACAAAAAAATCACCCCAAAATTGAATTTGGTCCTTAAAATTTTAATAACATCTACAAGGGTATATAATATATCCCCTTAATGAGAATTTATGTATACATGTTAGTAAATCAGAAATAACAAGCATGTTAAAAAGAAATAAGTTGGAAGTTTACATTTTTTGGAACTAATTTAATACTCCTTCGTAAGTGAAAAGCCTTCTTAAAGCTTCAACTCACTATAATAACATCATAACAAAATCGCAAATGATTTTAATTACTAATACAACAAAAATTTATTTTTTCTGCTTTTACACTCTACATAATATGTTGCAACCTGATTATAAATTTAAATGGCTATCTGCTTTATGAATCTACACTGTTCTCTAATGTAGATTTAGGATCACATCCAAATACAGCGCGATAAGGTGATCTTCCTATGATTCTGTGATATGATGTATTCTTCTGGTATTGTACAAAATAGCATCCAATAGACCAACTTGTAGAATCATTAGCAACCATCCATATGCGGAGCATATTCTCTACATCTTGGTTATTGCGTTCCATGCAACTCTGGGTCTCTGGGTGTCGGGGGCTTGCATGTATAGTTTTGCAATCTGGCCACATTTTCATGATCTTTTCCAGAATTTCAACAGTAAACTCCCCACCACTGTCACTTTGCAAAACAGTTGGTGCACCAAAAGTTAAAAAAATTTTCACTAATTCTGAAGCAACTTCAGATGCCTCTTTACTTCGGAGTGGCCGAAGCTGAAGAAATTTGGTGGTGTGATCTTGGTAACTTAATAACCACTTGTATTCCCCGTCTGGCGCTGTCTGAAAATCTATTAAATCAACTTGACCACGAACGTTAAAACCTGTTAAACTTGTAAGCTTCATAAATGCATTTTTCCTTGGTATGTGGGTTTTCCTTTTGCAGATTGAGCATAAGGCAACGAATATTTCAACGGCTTTTTTTTGTATGTAGAGTCCTCTATTTTTTATACTGTACAGCATTTTATCACGACCTCCGTGCCCACTTTCTTTATGAATTTCTAATAAAAAGTCATAGTACTTCTCTATAGGTATCACACGAACAGTGGGGTCATCAGGAGTACTTTTTTTTAAAATCAGATAATCTTCATCGTCAATACTAATTAAATCGCATCTTTTGCCCCAGTAATATTGCGGAGGTGTCCGTCGAATACCCAATTCGATGGCAGTCTTGGCAGTTTTAAGATGTGATATAACCTCTACAACCCGTGCAATTGTCCATGGCTTTTGGCGTCCACCTTGAGAGTCATAGAAATCTTTTAGTTGTTGATCAAATTTTTCTTTCAATTCGCTGTCTTCACATGTATTTTCTGCATTTGCACTTGTAAAACAGTTGTCATATTCAGTTTGCATTGGCACTGACACAAATTCAGTCTTCAACGCCATTGTTGTTGTTATTTTGATTTTATCTGCAGAGCCACTAACCGCTAGCGGTAAAATTAGGAAGTAAAAGTAATAAAACTCATAGAACGCCGTGCTGGACTTCCCCTATTTAGCGTTACGTAATATGTGGAAAGCCCCTTACATAATTATGTAGAATGAATCAGACCACTTATTCTACCCATATTTAATTAATTAAATTCAAATAGCACATAATTTCTTATTTTTTTAATTGGAAATTTAATTTTACAGTTTAATAGAATATTTGTTGTTGCACTTCAGTAAGTAAATTAAGAAGTATTAGGGAAAATTTTGATGATTAAAATAAGATTGTTTGCTTGTATTTTTTGTTAAAATCTTTAAACAATCAATAACTTATCACTGCTAAAAGATACAGCTGGGGCAATTTTATATATGGAAAGAAAATTTAAAGGGCAATTTTTTAAGCTATCACATGTTAATCATGAAATCGATGAGCCACAATACAGCTATTTCAACAATCAGGCTGCAAAATGTTCATTCATTAATTTTTATTATTAACTTTTGTGTTGATTATCTTCTAATTCCCAGTCTGGAATATCCTTTTCTAATAAAGTGAAAGATTTTCCATGTTTGCCATAACCAGATATAAATAATTTAGCTCCCTCTTTTGCCTCAGCTAAAGTTTTCAATCCATTTTCTCTCTCAAACTCCAATAAATCCACATAAGCTGTTTTATAAGCAGCATTATAAGCAGATTTACGATCAGCAAGCAATGACTTCTGAGGATACTTTATTAAACAAGTTGCTAGATTTACAGCCTGTCCTAAACCTGATAAGGGGTAAAAATATTTATTAAAAGTATATTACACAAATTCAACCTAAATCTATAAGATAAATTAACAACTTACTTGTTCCACAGTCTACAATCCTATTTACTAAACCCCATTCCAAAGCTTCCTTTGCATGTAATAATCTTCCTGTCAATATAAGATCTAATGCTCTTGAGATACCAAGCATTGCTGTGAGTCTTACAGATCCCCCATCTAGTAATGGCATACCTTTAAATTTAATTACCATATTATTTAAAATACAACTTTAAACTACATCAGATTTTATCCAAAAAATAAATAACATCAGTTCCCAAGGAAAACTTCAAATTTGTAATAGTAAAATGCTAAGAACTTACCAAATCTTCTATTATAAAGTCCTAAAACGGCTGTATCTTCCATTACCCTCAAGTCACACATAGCAGCCAGTTCTAAACCTCCACCCACAGCATAACCACTAAGAGCAGCAACAATAGGTTTCTTAATAAACCTTCGAGTAGGTCCCTACTAAGAATTAAACAGTAACTTCATTGAGACCCAAATTATACTACACAAGTAAATAATCATTTACCAGCAATCCATTGTTACAGTAATTTCTAAAATTGTCTTCATTACTATTTGCTAATTCATCTAAATCATTTCCTGCACAGAAATTTCCCCCTGTGCCATACAAAACTGCAGCTCTCGATTTATTATCATTCTCAAAATTTGTTATTGCTTCAGTCAATAACGCAGCAGTGCTTCTATCAATACAATTACGCTTTTGTGGTCTATTAATTCCTATAACTGTTATATAATCCATATGATCAATGATTATACCTATTAATGAAACAATAAAAAAAAAAACATAAAACTGATAATCACATATAAGTTACTATTATCTTACTCTTTTCCGAAGAACTGTACAAGCAGACATGAAATTGTCTCAAGTTACTTAAATTAAATATATTGCAAAGTTTCTTTATCGAATGCATATTTTAGGATTATTTAATTACAGAAAAGCTAGGTTATATTTAAAGAAAAAGAAAGGTTAATACCGGCTCTTCTTTTTCTAAGTGGCCTTTAAAATTCAAACGCATACAGCCAACTAACTTAATTTAGAAAGGATNTTTAATTTTATGTTCACTTCTGTATATAAACTGGACCTAAATTAATTCTTCATAAAATGTGTATAGATACCGTGTATAAAATTGGTATATAGCATACATCAGCATGCGTGTTTTCAATTAGAATTAACTATTTTTTTTTATTCAGTCTGGTCAAAATATCTCTGTTAATTCCGATCGCCTAAACAGGCACGCTTGCTCGGTTGGGACCCTTAACATAGACCATATTTCTTACAAAATTACCATTACTTGCTGTCACTACCCTCTAACGTACTTCTAAAAATAATTTTTACAACTTATAGAAACTTCTCTCTTATTTAAATAGATCCTTACTACCACTTGTTTCTAGTATGGTGTTATCACTTCTTGTTGGGGGTATTCTTTTAATTTAGGGGAGAGGGGGGATGTACATGCAGTTTTCAATTGAAAACATTGGCAAACTCAATATTTAACTCAATTGCTAACATTACTCGTTAATGACTAATTAACTGATTATTCATAAAACACCCTGTATCTATCTAAATAACTAGGAACTTTTCATATCTAGTAAAACACTTTTACTTTCTTTTTTTCTGCAGAGCCCACGAAGAAAAACAATCGAAACTGAAAGAGGTTCTTTATCCAATAGAAGACATTCTTCGAGAATTAAAAAGGTAAAGCTATCTAAATCTGCCCTTCAATAGAAAAATAATTGATTTTTATTCTGTTATACTTTTCTTTTACTCAGTTATTTTATATATGCTATACATAATAAATTTTTTACGTGTGTGATATAAACTATAGGTTTTGAATAATTATTACAACAAATTTTTATGAGACAGAGGGTGCTTCGCGAATGAGCCCAGATGAGTCAAAGCCCACGAATCGAAATTTCTGACCCATATCTTTATTAATTTATCTATATTATTTTAATCCGATAAAGCGTAAAATTTAAAACCAGAAGCATTCAACTTCACATAAACCAAGAGACTTTGCTTACATAATACAAAATTGTGTGGCAGTTTTATTAATTGGTGTAAAGATATCTATTACTTTATCAAAATTGTAATATTCTGCGATTTTTCTCTAGCTTAACATCTAAATTAATTACCAAAGAAAATGTCAATTCTTTATTTGAATCAAATATTTAATATCCTCAAAGATAATCCAATTACTCATAAATGAAATTTTGTTTTACTAAATTGAGCACATATATGTTTAAAGTAGAAATATTAGCTTTCAATTAACTAAGCAAAGGAGAGATTCAAGTATTTATTAAACACAAAAGTGGTAGGAGGTAGGGGAACTTCCTTTTGCTTATTTTTGATGGGATAAGCCGATAAGGAATCGGGAGTTTGGATGTTTGTGACGTAAACGGAGTATTAATGAATTTAAGATCCTTGAAAGAATGGGATTATGCTACGAAGGTTCTGGATCACCAACATACTTATTACATTATCCTTTATGAACGTTGGTTTGTGCAAGTATTTTTCATTACAATGCAAATAATTAGGATAAAAATTGTAGGTGAAGAAGCTGGTAAATTATTTATTGAACCAATGTTGAGAAGGTCATCAAAAACAAATGCAGATTTGATAGTTCTCTTGAAAAGACAGCTCGGGTCAAATGCTACGATATCTAGTAGAGAAAAGGTACCTAATATAAATAATATTAGAAATAATTCTGTTTAAAATACGAATGCGAAATGCAGAGTATAGTTGGGACGTTTAAAATTGGCATAGTCCGCAATAAAACTATCGCATTTACTTTCTCGTTTCAACGTACTAACTAGAGAGAGAGTTGCTGATAAAACGTCTACTTTTACTCACGACAGACGTCGTAGGGAATATCGTAAAATAGAAAAGAGATGTCAGGTAGGAATTGCAGCGGACACTAATAAAGAAAAAGGAATAACATTACACCAATTAATGTGTAACAAAAAGAGATGCAGACAAGCAGGATTTGAGCATGTTACCAGCATCGGAAATTAAAGAAAGTTCAACATTCTCAGGAATTTAGGAAAGGAAAAACGCTTGTTTAAAAATATAATTCTAACTAAATAGTTATAAAGCCGACCCTAATCATTTGCGTACCTATCACCATTGCATCGCTTACTATTATTCGGTTATCTCTATTCACTTTGCCTGTACTACTCATTTCCTGACTTAACAAGGATGTGTTCAAAACGCAGCAAATGACTACAGTCCCAAGTGGAAACAAGAAAGAAGATACATCCATTCTTACAGATAATTTACTGCGAACTTTGCCAATTTTAATCATCCCAACTATACCTACCTATTTCTAATGTCTATTCTAAATTCACTATTCTAAAATATACCAATAATTTGAAAATATTAACGTATTTTTTACCTACACAGTTCACGGTATTATAAAAGTTTTTTACTCACAATTTCTAATCACAAAATTAAACCAATTAGCCAGATATAATAATGTACTTTGTTTACTGCAATTTTATTTCTTTTTGCAATAAAAAAGGGCCTAGATTAGACAAACATTTTAATTTCAATTTTGTAACCAAAAGTAAGAACTAAAATTTTCAAATCATCGTTTATACTTCTTTTTAATATGTAGTACACATACATGTAATTCGTATAATACAAATAAATATTCCACGTAAAAAAAATCTAAAAATGACTTTTCTCTATCACTACCTTTTTTTAGGAGGATATCATGGAAGAAAATGCTAACATACAATGTATTTAATTTTTTTTTCCACACCAAAAAAGGAACAAAATGATATATCTATTCAGTTGCAAGTTATACATTTATATCTGTAGGATTAATTTGTTATTTTCATTGTTACTATTAATGTAATGTTTATAATTGATGATTATGTTTAAAAAGTCACTGAATTTTCACCAGTCTAAATACTATAATATTAATAAATAATCATTTGATATTATATATACATTGTTCTTATAGATTCCTTTCTGATAAAATTCATTATTTCAGATTTATATACATATACATTATAAGACATACGCAGTCTTTTCGTTCGCAGGGGGGCTAATTTTTAATTTAATTAT